GAGAATCGCTATGGAAAGAGCCAATTCACTGAGTCAGAGCCTGTTGTTGCTCAGTATCCCTTCAAGCCACCTGGCTCACCACCCAATCTTCATGTTGTGCAGGCCTCAAAGTCTGTTATGGTCATTGCTTGGAGCAAACCGGAGAGTGATGGCGGCAGCCCTATTATTGGGTACCATATTGAATGCAAAGATCAAAGCAGTATTCTGTGGAAAAAATTGAACAAAAGCCCAGTGACGGAAAACCAGTATAAGGTGACAAGTGTTGAGGAGGGTCTTATATATGAGTTCCGGGTGTGTGCAGAGAATATGGCAGGTGTTGGACCCTGTAGCAAGCCATCTGATCCTGTAGCAGCTAGAGACCAGTGTGACCCCCCAGGCAACCTCACTGTCACCAATATAACTAACACTTCAGTAACTCTCTCGTGGGACAAGCCAGAATATGATGGTGGCGCTAAAATAACTGGTTACATTGTTGAGCGCAAAGAACTGCCCGATAGTTGCTGGCTTAAGTGTAACTTCACAAACTTATTGGACACCTTCTTTGAAGTGACTGGCCTTACAGAGGGTGAACAGTACAACTTTCGTGTTATTGCAAAGAATGCAGCGGAGCTCTTCAGTCCACCCTCTGAAACAACCGGACCTGTCACAGCACAGCACAATGTAGAGCCACCCAAAATTATCTTGGAAGACAAATTTCGACAGGTAGTGGTTGTCAAAGCAGGAGACCTCCTAAGAATAGAAGCTGTCATCTCAGGCCGCCCCAACCCTACAGTGTTTTGGCTGAAGAATGGTAGAAATATTGGCACCACAGGACGAGTTGAAATAACCGCAACAAAAACGCATACCTCTCTGCTTATCAGAGAAAGTGTTAGGAAAGACTCTGGGCAGTATACTCTTACTCTCCAGAATACAGGGGGCACCACATCTAAGGCTATCACCTGCAAAGTACTAGACAGACCTGGTCCACCTGCTGGACCCCTTGAAGTTTCTGGACTTTCAGCAGAAAAGTGCACCCTCTCATGGGGAACTCCTCATGAGACTGGTGGGGCGGAGATCATGTACTACATTGTTGAGAAATGTGAAACCAGCCGTGTTGCCTGGACCCTTGTGTATGGTGACATGATGTCAACTACTTGCAAGATAACCAAACTTCTCAAAGGAAACGAATACCTGTTTAGGGTGAGGGCAGTCAATAAATATGGTGAGGGTGAGACTTTGGAAAGTGACCCAGTCAAGGCCATGGATCCTTTTACCATCCCATCTGCTCCAACAGATGTTGAGGTCACAAGTGCAACCAATGAAGCGATGACTATTTGCTGGAAGACGCCCGCCTCTGATGGTGGCAGCCGCATCAGCGGTTACATTGTAGAGAAAAGGGAGAAGCAGGGCATCCGTTGGGTCCGGGTCAATAAGAAGCCAGTCTATGACCTACGAGTCAAAGCCTCTGGTCTGCATCCGGGATCTGAGTATGAATTCAGAGTCTTTGCTGAGAATGCTGCTGGGCTAAGTGAACCAAGTTTGCCATGCCCACTCACCTTGGCAGAGGATCCAAAGTTTCTTCCTTCCCCTCCAGTAAAGCCCACTATAATTGATTCATCCAGATCTTCAATCACTCTGTCATGGAACAAACCGGTGTTTGACGGTGGAGCGGCAGTTACAGGGTACAAAGTTGAATTCAGAAAATCAACAGAAGAAGACTGGACTGTTGCTGTTCAGAACACAGATAGGACAGAGTTTACAGTAAAGGGACTCACATCGGGGACAGCATATGTTTTTACTGTCAGATCCATAAATAAAGTTGGTATTAGTGAGCCTAGCCCAGAAACAGACCCCGAAGTAGCTACAGAGCGAGAGGAGAAGCCTGAGATTCACATTAACCCTGAGATGAGAAAGACTCTGCCTGTTAAATGTGGCAGCTCCTTCACATTGACGGTGCCTTTCACAGGCAAACCTGTTCCCAGTGTGTCATGGGAGAAAGCAGATGTTGATCTGCGAGTCAGAGGAATGATCAACACCACGAGCTCTGCCACCTCTATCACAGTGGAACGAGCAACACGTGATGACTCTGGCAAATATACTGTCAAACTGCAAAATGCTGCTGGATCTGCCTCTTTGACCCTAAATGTGAGGGTTTTAGATTCACCTGGTCCCCCGGCTCATATAATAGTTAAAGATGTGACTAAGAACTCTGCCACTGTTACCTGGGACATTCCTGAGAATGAGGGAGGGTCTCCCGTGAAGAACTACCTTGTAGACATACGAGACATCAGCAGAACGGGATGGATAAGACTTACTGACAAGTGTCGCCGATTGTCTTACAAGGTGTCCGACCTGGAGGAGGGAGGAATCTATTTCTTTAGAGTCACAGGAGAAAATGAGTACGGGATTGGGGTTCCAGCTGAGACCAGAGAGGGAACAAAAATGACAGGTAACACTTAAGATTAAACACACCATCAGCTACAAAGCGCTATATAAATACAGGCCATTTACCATTTACAAGAATTCTTTCACAAAAATCCATGTTAAAACCTCACTTGCACACTTTTACATGCTGTTTTACCTCTGTTTTTGCTTTAGATACAACAGACTGGGAGACAAATCCAGGAGCCTAGCTTGCCCCACGTTAAGATAATCATCTCCTGAAATTTGGAGATATTCATCGGGGGTTTTTTTGTTTTTTTTATAAAAATAGAATACATTCAATTTTGTTTTAAGATGTTCTTTGTCGATTGAGTTCAAATCAAAACATATTTTGTAAAACGAAGGCAATAAAAAAAAGTTATTATTAATAGCTCGTGCTGGTGAACAACCATTCTGAGGAATTATGATGTATCAGTTTCTAACTTTATGGTTCAAATGTCTTTATTTATGTAAAGGAAAACAGTTTCAGGCAGCACACAAAAATTCAGAGACTCTGGAATTCTGTATTGCTTAAGGTTATCCCTGCTGGGATAAAACACATGCAGATATGTTTTGGTCTTTTGCCTGACATGAGAGTCAGAGTATAACGAGTTGACAAGTTAGTCTCATGTCCCTGTACTTTTCTGTCTTTTGTTTAGGGAAGTAACCTGATTAAACATGTACATCATATTTATGCCAAAGATTTCTTCTTTTTTTTTTTCTTTCTGAACATGTCGGACAAACATATATGTATGCTTTGGGTTGACTTTATAAAAATTCTCTTACCTATGTTATTTATGCTGACAAAAGACAAGACAATATTACTTTATAGGAGGTAGGAAAACCAGCAAGAACACTTTTAATCTCAAAACCATAGTTCTACATCTATGTTTGCTTTTTATTTTACTATTTCTGGAGGAGTTTAGGAATGGTTAAATAAGAACTGACACATTAAAAAAAATTCCGTTCTGTATTAAAAATACAAAAAACAAATTTTAAAAAAACGTGAAAAAAGTAGATTTGTCCAGGTCAGGTTATACACCAAAGATGGAGGAGAAGAAAACATGGAGGTAAATTCAGATTCAAGATATGAAGTATCTATGTTTTATCATCTGAGAGGGGGTCCCCTTCACCAAAGAAGCAAGAACACAAAGAAAAGAGACAACAGAATAAGCATCCTCAAGCCCCATCTCCTGAACTGAAAACACATGAAAACATGGATAAATGTGCTTATTTATTTCTGATATGTGTGTGAATGTGTGTGTGAATGGGTGGATGACAGGTTGTGTAAAGCGCTTTGGGGTCCTTAAGGACTAGAAAAGCGCTATACAAATACAGGCCATTTACCATTTACCATATTGTCACAATTTCTTCTTGTCAGCAGATTTGACATGCAATCCTGTTGTGTCCAGACAGATGACAATAAGCCAGCTAAACAACAACAGTCGACTATAAACTAAAATTATGGTACAGTCTAAGTTTTAAGTTTCTGATCTCCATTGGTTGACTAAAACAAGTTTGTCATATTATAGCAGCCACCATAGTTACAATTATGCACTTGGATTGGGAGGGGTAAGAAAACAGAATTCATTTGACTGCAATCTACAGACATCTAGTGGTGAGATTTTACACACTATTACTTTAAAGATCATCAATTAACCTAACCCCACTGATGCTGCATGTCTTTGGACTGTGAGAAGATAGTAGTAGTCACCCTCATACTGAATACTCATTCAGTTTCAGATAAGTCTTGGTTTATATTAATTTAAGCAACTTTCTAAATCTACTGAAAATAAATAGTGATGTTTTTTGCAAATTAATCTTTTTGATATCTTTGCTTAAATACACTTTTAAAGTAATAATTTAAACAACTACAAAGAGAATTAAGCCTTTGTGAGCTAAGGAAACAATTTAGTATTATTATTTTTAAATAATACAATAGGATTGAATGGATTACTATTATTTTTAGATTATGACATAAATGTGTCCAGTAAATACTCAGGACCATAGAAATGTTGTGCAATAATATTTTATATGTTTTAACATATGTTTGTAATGTTTGTTTTGTATTTATGATTATGGGGTTGCAAGTATAATTAATTGGGTTGCAGATCAGTGATAGTATTAGAGGGTGTGTTGTTGTTTTTTCAGAAAAAGATGCTGTGTAATTTAATGGATTATGAAAGTCAAGAATAACCGTAGTTATACAAATAAAGAGAGGAAACATTATTTTGTCTTCTTTGGTAATATGTGGAACTGGGTTGGTCTGGTTAGAGTGATACAATCTACTGTGATACTAGTGATTCTATCACTAGAGACCCCACAATAATAGGACTCGCAGGGCTTTATTTTTATGCTACGAAAATAAAAGCTACTCCTTGTACTTGAGTACATTTCACTGCTCACGTCTTACTTATAAAAGTGTTTTTAGTATCCTTATTTATATCAACGACCTTTACACACTTCCAGTCGGTCTCCTCTTTTATTTATCTCAACGAAAATCAAGTAATGATGACAAAATTGTGAACAGGAACCAAACTGAGTTTTTCCTTTTTTAAACTTTCCAAAGAAAAAAAGGCCACTTTTTTTAAGGTTTTGCATATACGTCACTATAGAAACCGCTACGTTACACCCGACAAGGGGAGGACGCTTCTAGTCAGAAACCGGAAGTAAGCGAAGCAGAAAACATTAGCCGTTCAGTAGTTTTGCGGGTTACTGTTAACTACGGCAAAGTACAATTTGAAGTTGAAAACTTCGACATGGGAACTACGGCGAGTCAACTTTCGAAAGAGTCGCTCTCAGAATATCAGGTAAGTCCCGAAAGCAAAGTCTCCACAGGCAAACTTTACCTATTTTCTTAATGGACGAGTGGAAGTGTTTTTTACGCCCTGTAATAACGTTAAAGGAAGAGCGTAATAGCTTTGTTAGCCTGACGTTTCAAAGGAGAAATAAAATGATAAGCGTCCTGGTGCTCAAATAACCAGTATTATTTACATTTGTAGTTGATGTAATTCGTATTGATTATATGTAACGTCTGCGGAAATACTATTAAAAACAAGTTACGGTCACTAGCCTAATAACAACCAATACTGTTGCTCAGACTCTTTAAAAACATCCGTTTGAGGGCAAAAGTTACAAATTTATGTTAATAAGTGATTGTTGTCTTTGCACTGATGCTTACATTTACTTTGCCTTTGTTTTGGAAGAAGAAAGAAGCGCTTATTGTTACTAAACTCAGAGAAAATGTATTCATAAATATATGTGTTATCCTTTTATCTCCTGTTTGAACAACTTCAGTAATTAAAATCAGGTACGCACTGAGTGGGTCCGGGCTGTCTTGTCTTTGTTTTGTTGTTCATTCAAAGCTCAGTTTGAAAACTGTTTATTATTGTTTAATGTATCACTTTTTATATGCTTTTATTTTTCTTGTTAAATTAAGAAGATGCCTGTTTATTTGAACAAGAAGCTCTTCAACTTCTTAAAGGACTAATCCCTACATATATTTTTAGGAGCTGACCTTCCTGACAAAACAAGAAATTCTTCTGTAAGTGACAAGCTGCAAGTCATCATACTAACAAAAAATTTTGTCTTCTGCTGGTTGTTGTAATGTGTGATATATTTTTCTCTTTTTTTGCAGTGCTCACAAGAGATTCACAGAACTGCTTGAGAAACATGAAAAAGAACAAATAGATGCCAGAGTACCAATAGGCAGGATTATTACTCTGCCTGAGCTCAAGGTGAAAAGATTTTAACAAAGCATATGCATTACATTGTTTTTATGTTTTGTTTTTTGCGTTAATGCTTGATTTCTATGTTTATGGGATTATATTGTAATTCATGCTCTGAAGGAAGTGCTTCAGTGGCTGGTAATCTGTTCTGACCTTTGTACTCATTCCCGTTACAGTCCAACCCCTTCAAGGAAAGAATCTGCCAGGTGTTCTCAACCTCTGAACAAAAAGATGGAAGCCTCACTTTTGAGGACTTCCTGGATCTTCTGAGTGCCTTCAGCGACTCTGCTACTCTGGAAATCAAATCCCACTATGCATTCCGCATATTTGGTAAAAAAAAAGAAAAAAAAAAAACGTTGATAAAAAGTGATATAGTTATTTTTGCACACAAATATGTCAGTCTACGAAATGCTAACCAGTCTGCTGCTTTCAGACTTTGATGATGATGGAACCCTTGACTGTGCTGATCTGGAGAAGCTGGTTAACTGCTTAACTGGTGAGACAAACGATGCAAAACTTTCCTCCACGGAAATGAAGCAGCTCATCAGCAACGTGAGATTACTGAGTTTGTCTTTATAGTTGTAAGGGGTGGTTATAAACTGCGTGTGGGATGGTATACTGATGTGTCAGTAAGCCTAACAATGTCTTTCTTTTCCATGTCTGCGTGTTGTTTAGATTCTTGAAGAGTCAGACATCGACAAGGACGGAACTGTGAACCTCTCAGAGTTTCAGCACGTCATTTCAAGGTCACCAGATTTTGTCAGGTAACTAGAAATCCAGCTGCTCCAAACACCAATAATTATTTGCATTTATAAGTGTCCAATTGATTCTCATTTGATTTATCCACAGTTCCTTCAAGATTGTGCTCTGAAGACTTCCAGTGGACCTTGGAGATGCATGCACCTTTTTAATTTTAGTGTATAATTTTAAATCAGAACAATTTTAATTACTTGCCTTAAATTATATTTACCTGTGGATTTTGCTGCCTTAACTGTTTTATGTAATTTGTCAAATATAAACCCTTTTTAAACATCTGTTTGAAGAAAAAATAAAAGTTTCACCAAAAAGTATTGAGTTGAGTTTTTATAGAGAAAAAAAATGAACAAAGAAATTTAGTTAATTCTTTGTGTTTGTAGGAGAAATTTACAACTGTTGTCCAAAGTTCACTGTGCTTAACAAGTGCATTTTGTGCTATTTTCAGCACAAGCTACTTCCTCCTTTACAGCAGCAGCAAATGTGTTCCATGTCCCGCACACCACATCAAGCACACGCATCTGCTCAGCCCTGAAAAACTCCACACGCTGCGGCTCATCCGAACTAGTTACTGTTTGGTGTCCAAGCTGGCCATATTCCCCTGTAAAGGTAATAAAGGCAAAGATGCCAAAAATCTTGGCGTTCACTTTGATTTGAATGATACTGCTTTGAGTATTTCACTTAGATGTAACACATTTCTAAAACCAAAACTCACCCCATCCCCAAGTGTAGAGGTCACCAGTGGCTGAAAATAAGAAATTGTGACACGATGATTGCTAGAAAATGTGCATCCCGGTAAAACAACTGTCAGAAGAGATTCCTTACTTGTTACTGCAGCTGTGTGGCGGGAACCACAGCTTACTGCTCGGATTTCACATGATGAAGAGACGTCCAGCAGAGCGGGGAACGCCTGGATTGATATGAACACATCTTCATGCTCCTCTTCCTCCTTTAGCTTTTCATCTGGTGGTGTGCTGGTATCACAGCATAATTCTCCTGTTTGATAAGGTCAGTGGTTCAAAATGGATGTAAAAACTGCCTCTTCAATAGAACTCTTTAAAGCAGTGCACATTTCAGGACAGACCTGTTTGTTGACTAGTTTTCTGCTGAGATTTCCTCAGACCTCGAGAAGGAAGTCCAAGCTGGCCGCTCTCATTCCAGCCCCACACATAAAGGTCACCCCCATCTAAGAACAAAAAGATCCTCTTCAAATCCTTTTCAAACTGATTGTAACTTGTCCAAATCTTTATTTGACATTTACCACTAATGCAAGCTGAGTGCCAGCCTCCTGTAGCCACATGGGTCATGGGCATCCCCCAGAGTGCCTCCACTACTCTGGGCTCCTCCTCAGAGGTGAGCCCTCCATGCCCCAGCTGACCATGGCTGTTACATAAATACATGCATGCATAGGAAGATTACTTATGCTTATTTGTTGTTTATGCATGAAACTGCTGCTTCTCACATGTTCAACAAAGACATATGTGTGAGTGGCTCCACCTGCCCAGTCCCCAGCTGTACACTGCTCCAGTGGCAGTAAGAAGAACAGCATGCTCTGCACCCAGTGCTAGGCTCCTGGCTTTCAGGTGTCCTGGTAAGGTGCAGTAGAAGGGAGGCTTTAAGGCAATGTAACCTCCAGGGACCAATGGCAAATTCACATCTATAAAAATAAATAAAAAGTAATATTGAGACTCTGTAATTTCATACATCATTATTAATGTCTGTCTAGCCAGATAAGATATTAGCATACACATTACCAGAGCCCTCTGCGTCGGTTTTTATATCCATGCTCCATGATGGACTCTTCTCCCTCTTCTGCAGATCCCAGGTCTCAATCCTGTCTGGGAAGGCCAGGGTCAAGTGCGATTCACTGATGAATACATCCTTACAACCACGGCTCTCTATTTTAGAAATACCACAGTCCTCGCTGGAGACCGATTCCCCAAAACCTGCCAAGCTCAGGCAGCTGTCTCCTGACAGAAACAACAAACAACAAAACAAGAGCTAAGCTAACAACAAAACAAGAGCTAAGCTAAAGCAATAGATGTAGATGTATTAATCCTCAGGACTTAGGCGATGTCTTTGATACACTCACCCTCTAAATGTAAAGATGCTCTTCGACTCCAGCTCACTCTGATCTGACTTGTCTTCAAGCAGCATCTACTTCTATCCACGTGACTGCTGAGCTCTGCTGGGTGACTTATTTTGACTTGGTGGGGCGCGCTGCTACTTTCTCCTCTGCCTGACTTTTCCTGGACACATATCTGTCCAAAGGCGTTGAAACCGAAGCCAAACCAGCGCATCTGAACACCGAGCAGCTCAACAGAAGCTGTTCGCAAAACTAACCTACGATTGCGCTTATTTTTTATTTTTTTTTAATACAGCAGGAGCACAAGCGGCGAGAGATGATGACGAGTGGCGAGGGAGGAGCATGTCATTTAAATCGTCTTTAAAGAGACATACACCAAGTTCATGTTTATTGACAGTATTTAAGGTTGCTCTGTTACTACACGTTACACCGAGATTATTGTGAACAAAAGCTGTGCATCAGGCATATACCTCGGGCTTTTCACAATGTCTTATAAATAGCTGGCTCACTAAGTGTGAAATGTGCGTGCGCATAAACAGTTGTACAATAAAAAGTTGTACAGACATGGAAGGGTTGGCTTTTTTGATCCAGATTGTTATGTGGCCTGGCTCACTTACGTAGCAGATCAGCTGGACTGTACATGATCACTAAACTAAATTGAGTTTGAAACCCCTGCCATAAATTATAAAATGTGTGCCACAAACTTTGATAGGACAACTTGTGTCACATTTCTTATTTAGTTTGGGAAGTTGTAGAATGGCCATTTTAATAATATAAAAATTCTCAGAGCAGTCAGTGGCACCCCTCATCCTCCTAGCAGATGTACCTATGATGTCAGTTTCAAAATCCTTTCTTCTGTTATTTCATTCACGATATTTAAAAAAAAAAAACCCCAACAGATTCAGACTCATCGGAGATTTTCAGTACATACACTTAAGGTATAAATTTGAAACTCCTACATTACTTCATTGTCAAGTGATCGCATTCAAAGAGTTGGGTATCCATATTGCCTGCCCAGTAGGGCGATGACAATACCCCGCCAGCCTTTCATGGCTGAGGGATAAAAATAGTTGGGCATCCCAGCACTAAAGCACCATTATAAAGTACATCTAGCCAGGTGGGATATGGAATAAAGTAAACAGAAGTGAGGATTGGTCATTTTTATTTATTTTTTTCATGTGTTCAGTTAAAACGTATTAAAACAACAAAGCACACTGGGAATGTGTTGGATTGTCAATAATAGTGATAACAAACATTTAAACAAAAAGTAAATTTTATAGTGTAAATGAAATGTTTCTATTTTTGCTGAATATAAAATAAAATATTGAGAAAAGTAGTGTGCACAATAAAAATAAGAATGTGTTTGTGGGACTAATAATGACACTCAAATGAAATATTTGCACATATATAGGAATGGTCATTTTTAGTGGAAATACATGGAGGAGAAATGTTGGTCTCTGGGTGGAATACACACTTTTGCCAGACTTTAACAAGTGTACAATCAACGTTACACAGCAGTCAAAAATCATTTCTGTGCTGTTGGTTCTTCCATTTGATACCATTCTTCACTACATCCCTTATTGCTTTTAATCATTTTTTGTTAAGACATATGAGCCCATTTCCTGCAAAAATGAAATTACTTCACTGGTCCAATATAATGTTCAAAGAACTGAAACGCTGTCAGGTGGCACATCCACACACTGCACTTTGTGTTCAGGGTTCAGTTCCTGAGCTCTTCTCCTTTTCTTCCCTGTTTCTGATGATGCCGTACTCCATTGCTTTATCCAGGCAGTTCTGAGCTATCTTCGAGACGGCATCTGGCATGCCCTCTCCTCCCTTTGCAAGGACGGAAAGAATCTCCAGAGCTTCGCTCTCTATGAGTTTCTCAGCCAGACTCTTCTCTGCCTGGATCATGTTCTGAACTATGACCACTCCACGATGACGTAGGTCAGGTATTTCACTGAGCAACAAAGCCTGCACAATTTCTAGCCAGTGGGTTGTCTGAGAAGATAACAGAAGTCATGTGAGCAAAAATAGAGTAAAAAAAAATAAAATAATGGTAGCGACACTACTGGAGTGCTTTTCTTACAGTTCCAGGGATGCGAGCACAGAGTTCAGGATGTTCGGCTGTCAGCATGGCCAAGGTTCCTGCAGCAGCTTTCCGCAGCCTCCCGTCATCCTCTCCGCTATAAAGCACGAGCAGCTTCAGGCGATCATTTCCTGTGGCCAGGTAGAGCTTCTGCACCTGAGGATGCCACACAGCACAGCCGCTACTGTCAGTTCAACCGGTATTCATGTATTCAAAGACTTGTTAATAAATTATCCCTTACCTCAGTATTTAAAACCAAGTTGCACATGCACTCTGTGGCAGAAGCTCGTACAAGGTCATGCTCCTCAAACATGTAACCTTCAATTTTAGGTACAGCTTTCTCCTTGATGATCTTTTGCCTGTGAAAGTGTATACTTAATTCAGAAAACTGAAAAACACTTATGAAACTGCGCTGATCAGGATAAAAGATGCTTTAAAAGGCAGATATAATGTAAGTTTTGAAAAAAGTAAAAAATAAAACAGAACAAGGCATGCTTTGCATAACTGCACAACTTCAGCGTTAATTATCAGCTTCTACAGTGAAAACAGCTTTGACAGGAAATTGGATTTCAGTGGTCAACAGAGACTCTAAATGTTTCAGTCTTTGGAAAGTTGCCATACAAGAAAATTACTGCATGTTAATCAAGTCTGTGATTTAGTCTATATTAAGTCTCAGTCACTTGTGGTCACCCTGGAAGAATTTAAAAACAGGTTTGATGGAAGGATTTCACACCATCTAAATACTTTATGCTAAGCAATAAAAGTGACACATGTATTGATCTGCAAAAGTAGCTTTGCAAAATGCAGAAAATGTAAAATAAATAAATAAATAAAAGTATCCTAAATGTAATGTTCTGGAATGAAAATAGACTGTTTTGTATGAATACTTTTAGTAGAGACTCCCCCCTAGTGGCGAACCTGAGTCTATCGTTGATGCCAGCCAGGTTTGTGAGAGCCATGAGTGCCTCAAAGTTCTGCAGCAGGGTGCACTCAAGCCTCAGAAGGCTGGTTAGTGGGCGTACCACCTCATAGATCTGACCCCAAAAAATACACAAACAAACAAAAGCAAGATAATGTTAAAGAGTTATTGTATTTTTTTTAAGTTAACTTGTGTGTTACTGTTTGCATTTTTACCCTTTCTCCTGGAAAGGCAATCTCCGGGTTAGACGTGATGGTTATTTTTGCCAGGGCTTGTGCAGCTTTGATTTTTCCTGCATCTGTGTTGTCGGATGCAAGTGGGATCAGAGCCTTTTGGAGGAGAGCAGCAGACATAAATCATTTAAGCCTTCTGAAGTGTGGTGCTTAGTTAAGAGTGTAGGCTAAACCGAGTGTATTTTAGAATAGAATAGAAAAAAATATTTTAATTGTCCCACAAGGGGAAATTTGGGAAATTTTTATCAGTACACTCTACCTTTCCTCCACCCTGTGCCACCACTGTGCCTCTGTCTTCCTGTCGCTCCACTAGGGCCAAGAACACCCTGCCGTGAAAGATTATATTAACCAGAAAATCTACAGAAAAAACAAGACTTCCTGCCATTTTCCTACCTGGCAATACATTCCCTACAAGCCTCAGTGAGTGCAGGACTCTCCTGTTTGACCATGCAAACCAATGCAGACACCACACCAGCCTCCAGCAGCTTCACCAGCCTTTTCTCTACATAGGAAGGTGCATCCTAACATAAAAAAAAAGCAGGCAGAAATATGAATCATAACCAAAAATAATTGAAATGAAGCTGTATAAAATAAATATTGTGCTATGTTAGTTCTACTTGAAAAGAAAAGGTTAATTTTAGTATTACCTTGGGATGTTCCTCAGGTACATGCTGCTTTGCATACTTGGCCAGCTCCACCATTTGAGGGTCTGGTTTCTCCACATCATAACTGTTGGTGCAATTCACTAATGTAGAACCCACAGCAAAGAGCACAGTCTTATCCTCGGACTGCAAAAACACACAGAAAACACAAAAAGGGCATCAGTGCATTTCAAGCATGGATGACAATCTGGTCCTGTGACATGAAATAGTTAGCAATAGTTACTTAGATTTAGAACAAATGAGTCCAATGAGAGACAGGAAAGGACTACTGATTAACTGGTCAGCGCTATAGACAGGACTAACACTGCCATCTAATGCACCGTGAAGGTGTGTGCCAAATATGCTGACGTTTGGTTATGAAGAATCAGACCCTGTTAACTCCACAGAAGTCAGAGTGGAGAAAATATAAGACTTCAGTTTAAATTCTTTCAGCTATGAGGAAAATAATGATGAGTTATACCTTTGCAAGGTCAAACATGGCCAGCAGGGCATTCTTGTCTTCCACCAAGTCTTCCTTTACATCTGCATCAAAGGTGAGGTAGGCGAGACCTTCCACAGACCAGCGGCGGGAAGTTGGGGGGAGAGTCTCATTACACAGCCACCTTACAGAGAAAGAGATAAAGCTTGTCAGTTATTTGAAATCCAGTAATCCACTCAAAACCTGGTATTTAGATCAGGTTTTGCAGATGTACATCAAGCATGCTGCATCTCTTAATCTATACCTAGGGCTTAAGATTCAATATAAGCCAACATACTTCCTGCACTGCTTGGCAAGCTTAAGTGTAGATCCCTCTGCAAACTGCTTCATGCTGAAATCTGTTCCTCCTGCTGATCCAAGCTTGCACAAACCCTGTGCAATAGCCCACATACACATAGCTGTTATTTTCATCTTTATTTAGAAGTGTTCTTTTCTAAAACTATCTGTGGTACTTACCACTAGGGCTCTCACACGTATCCTGTCATTCTCGCTCTTCTTGTATAGGTCCTTTAGCAGGGACACTCCATTGGCTGTGATAAATGAAGCTCTCTTGGCTTTGCCTGCAGCATGGATTAGAGCCTCAACCGCTACCTGCTGGTGAGTAACATCTTCGGAGGCACACAGCGATATCACGGCATCCATCATTCCTGACATTTCCAGAGTTCTGTTACCCACATCACTTGGCCCTTGTAGAAGCACTGATACTGTCTGGATGGCTCTCAGCTTGCCGTCTAGGCCAGGCCGGCTGAAATGTTGCCTGCCCACAACAACATTATGTTAGAAGAATCAATCAGTTTTCATGCTCACAAAGGACTTGTGATGCAGTTCTAGAAAAAAGATCTAAACGAACAAACAGTTTAAACAAGCTTCCTTGGTCAACTCACTGAACATATTCTTCACATAGTTTGTTGAAGTTCTCCCTCTC